GCGGTGGCGGTGGTGGGGGGAAGTGGCGAACACCAACCGGATGCTGCCAGCAGTGTCGGTGGTGGCCAGCAGTGATTGGTGACCACCTGCAGACACCACCAGTAATGTCAGTGGCAAGGGAGTAGGGTAGGGAGTAGCGACCACACACAGGCACCGCCGGCAACATCGGTGGCACTTCCTTCAGGGGGTGCACCGCCAATCTCAGGGGGCATGGGTGCACCCGTGTGCACCCCCTATGCATCACCAATGTACCACATGACCATGCTCGTCTGGAAATGCCCTTAGAAGCCACTATCCTGAATATCACTGTTCCAAAAAACCTTTCATGGATATCACCTTAGCCTCTTACAACTGTAGAACTCAGGCCCATCATGGTTGCACAAGGGAAATGTTCTTTATAAACTCAATCCTGCCAGAAGTTGAACACTTCAACCCAGATACAACAATACAATAATGTACGCAGGAACATTGAGTTATTTTTTTAATGTCTTCTGCCCTCCATGAAATTAATTATGTGCTTAAGCTAATCGCATGCATATTTGTGTAACCGGACTGGAGTCAGCATGTTCAGATTTTGCAGACTGAGTTTGGGAAGAGAAAATAAATATGTGTTTTTCAGGCTACCTGATCAAAGCATTCTTTGTTCTCTCCTACACTTGCATAATATCAACTTTAGTAATTAAATATTTCTTGGCTTGCTAAATTGCACCTTCTAAATGGAGGGCTTTGAATTTTTAGGTTTTTTATTCTCTCTCTCTCCATCCCTCCCTGCTCCCAACTCTCCCTGCAGGAGAAAAGTGACACCAATGTTTATTTCCACAATGATAATCTAAAAAGCCTTGTAAGCAATTTGTTTGCTGCTGGCATGGAGACCACTTATACCACGCTGCGCTGGGGCATTCTGCTAATGATGAAGTACCCTGAAATTCAGCGTAAGTCCTTCTGTGAAAGCCACCCTCCTAGAGAGCACACCACAAATTCAACCGGGGAACTCCGAAGCTGACATACAGCCAAACAGAGAAGTCACAGCCTGCTCTCCCTGTGATGTCCAGTCTTGAGACAGACGCAGTAAGGAAGGACTGATTCTGACCACACTTAAATCAGTGCAGCTGTCCTTCATTCAGTGCCAATCCCCTGATCTCCCCAAGGCGATGGTCAAAAGATGGTCAACAGCAAAGTTATCTGTTGTCGCTGCTGCTGTTTTATGGTTTTGTCTGTTCGTCATAAGAACATAAGAAGTAAAATCCTGGGTCAGATCAATGGTCCATCTAGCCCAGTGTCCTGCCTCTGACAGTGGCAGAAGTGGATGCTGTACAGGGAGATCACTGAACCAGGTATCTTTAGAGTGGTTTTCAGTCTTTTTTCATTGGTGGACCCTTAAAATTTCCAAAAGGAGATGCGGACTCCTTTGGAAATTTTGAATAGAGTTGTAGACCCATTTCAAATGTAAGTGTGGGTATTCACATACTTTTGATTGATCATCGTCATCTTTCATGGACCCCTTAGGCATAATCTGCAGACCCTCCTTAGTCCACTGACCACAGATTGAAAACCACTGCCCTAGAGTGATCTATCCCTGATTTAATACCCTCCCTGGTACCAGGTGCCTCCCACATCTCATTTCTTTTTAGCTCTTATCACCACTAAAAAAATTGTTTCCACTTCTCAAAGGCTGTTTCTGATGCTCAGAAGACAAATCCCTTCAGTGCCACTTGAGAGCTTCCTGCTTGAAGGATGCTTTGGGGCATCACTACTCAACCTGTAATGGGAAAAGTTCTCCATTAGCAAAACTGAAAGACGAGGTCAACACAGGAACCTCCTGCACAAAGAGAGACAAATGTTTGAAATAAAATGCCCTCCGAGGCACAGGTCACAATAGTCAGAGCCTCTTTTGTCTTCATAAGCACAGGGTCATATGATGCACTAGTCTGAACATAGGACTGCTGAACTCGAACCTTGAGTCTGGCTGAATTGTCAGAGTCTCTTGCCTTTATTTCATATAAAAGTTCTCCTTCTGGTTCCCCACGGGAGGGGGCAGCAGTTTAACTAGTTACTGTCTGTTAGCCTTGAAAAAGGCTGATACTAAAAGTTCACTTGGGGCTGCCAGGAGTCTAGGTACAGTGCTGTTGGGTATTCTCTTATTTTTGGGGTTTGGTGATTGCCACAAAGGGCAGGAAATGAATTCCCCCCAACCTCTACCCCTTGCTACAGGTGTCAGGAGATTTTTTTTTCATCTTTCTTGGAAGCATTGGGTATTGGCTGTAGCTAAGGCTGGGAATGGACGGGGGTGCACCAGTGCCCTAGTAGAAAAAAAACCCAGAAATTCCTGGTTAGAAAGTCTTGCTCCTTCACTGAGGGTCAGACCGAGCGCCACATTTAAGATGAGTTAGGCATGGACTGTACAGGTTTATGCCTGGGAAAAATGGAATATGTGGGAAAAATATAAAGTAATTTTAGCATACAAATCTGAACTTCTGAAAAGTTGAAATGAGATGATTGTTATTTTTTTTTCCCAGGTTTTCTTCTGGAACAACATTTTGCCTATGTCAATAGGTGTTTGTGAACCATTCTGATTTTGGCAGAACTGCACATTCTAGACCTGGGTCCATCTAAGTCTCTTTATCCAGGTCTTGTTCAATTGCTGCATATTATTATTTGGCAATTTCATGAAGGGAATGGGTTGTCTGTGCTTTCAAAGCTCTTTATTCAGCTCTAATAGCATTGAGCAAATGTGAAAAGGTCTAATCTTGTCAGCATCCCATTACTTCTGTAGACAGAAATGTCAGTATTGTTTTAACATGCCATTTTATCATTTTAATACAAGCTACCTAGAGATTTTGTGGAATCTCCCTCCTGGGAAATTTTCAAGAGCCAGCTCAACAGACACTTGGCTGGAATGGTTTAGTCACGGATGATCCTGCCTTTAGCAGATCCCTTCCAGCCCCACTTTCCTAGGATCCTATGTGATTCAATGCATTTCCAGAAACATGCAGAACTTTTCAGGGATCACTGAATACTGATCTCATGATATCCTTTTAAAATTATTATTATTTTATTTTTTATTTTTTTACAGAGAAAGTCCAGGATGAGATCATGACAGTTCTAGGATCAAACCCACCAAGAATCAAACATCGAACTAAAATGCCCTATACAGATGCAGTTGTCCATGAGATCCAGAGGACTGCTAATATCCTGCCACTGAGCGCACCTCATATGACTACCGTAGATGTCACTCTCAAAGGCTACTTCATTGCAAAGGTGAGCTGCTTGTAGCAAATAGTGTAACTAGGGGTAGGTGAGAGGGACACCAGCCCTGGGTGCTGACTTGAGCGGCGCCCCCTCAGAGTCCATTCCTGGGCCAGAAGAGCAGCCCCATGGTGTTGTTCTTGCAGCAACAAGTGGGTGCATGGACACCCTGCTGCTGCTACTAGTGCTTTTAGAGCAAGAACCAGGGTGTGTGGAGTAGGTGGTATTGGCAGCAGCATAGCCAGTGACTAGGTTGGGAGCTCCCAACATAGCTAAGGTTCTTGCTCCCATGCCTCCCCGCCCACCTCTCCTCCAGGGCTTGCCAGGATTACACCTCTGCTACCCTTTTAAATGCCTGGTTCTGTTGGGTGCTGTTAAATCAACCTGGATTGAAAATCCCATGCCAGAATTTGCAATACTCTTATTTGCAATATTTATCACCTTACCTTTAAATGCCTTTTACTATGGTTATGGTCACAGGACCATATTCCTCCATAGGATAACTCCTCAGTTGTGATTTTCAGGGAACTTATATCATTCCCTTCCTGGGCTCTGTGCTGAAAGACAAATCTCAGTGGGAGAAGCCAGATACTTTCTATCCTGAGCACTTTCTGGACTCTGAAGGAAAGTTTGTGAAGAAGGAGGCCTTCTTGCCTTTCTCAGCAGGTGCCATTTATTTTTTTTATTATTATATAACACTGTGATGGATAGAGATTTAAGATTCAGCAGAGTATAACTTTAGCTCCTGGTTTGTTCCATTTTAATTAATTAATGATTTACTCTCTTTCTTGCTTTCTTTCTTTCTTTCTTGTAATTTATATGCTGCCCTTCCCAACAGGGACTCAGGGCTATTTAAACAAAGACCCACAAGCAGTATATCATCCTAGTTTTGTTTGCTAAATGCCTGCCCAAATAGGATGTCTTACAGCACTTCTGAAAGATGTCCAGATTCAAGCTATGGCGGGGCCTCAAGAGAAAGGGAGTTCCAGGGCTGGGAAGTAACTTCAGGAAATGACCTGCCTTATCTTTTTGCCAAGTGGACTTGGCATACTGATAGTACAGATGTTGACCTCAGTTGAATGTAGGGATCGCAATGGGGCACAAGGGAGAAGCCAGTCCCCTAGGTCCTCAAAATATTTAGGGCCTTTTAGGTCAAAACCAGCACCTTAAATTGTGGCCATAAAGCTACTGGGAGCCACGGCAGACTCTGGCATATTGGAGTGATATGCTCCTAATGATCTACCCCTGTCAGAAAGTGGACCAGGTACAGATCTCAAATGGTGTTTAAGGGCATCCCTACATAGAGTGCATTGCTATAGTCCAGCCAGGTTATGAAGACATGGTGATAGTGCCCAGATCCAGATCTGAGATAAAGGATTGCAGCTTTCTCAGCTAGGAGGTGAAAGGCACCCGAAGATCCAGAGGCAGCAGGGGATCTAGGAGCACCCCAAGGCAGTGAACCTGAGTGACAAAGGGAAGTTGAACCCCATCAGTGATGATAGGTGTCCCAATCTTTCCACGCAAGTCAAGTGGTCTCCCCACCAGGGTCATCTCTGTCTTATCATGATTCTGTTTAAATTGGTGCATCTGGCCCTCAACTGTATCCAGGCACTGGGAAAGGATTGAGACTAAAGGGCCAAAGTCAGAAGAGGAGAGGTAGATCTGGGTGTCATTCACATACTGATGGCACCTCACTCCATATCTCTGACAATCTCACCCAGGGGCCTCATATATACATTGAAAATATGGGTGAACAAGATGGAGCCCTGGCAGCCTCTACAGAAATGCTGTGGGGATGAAAAGCACTCACCCAACACCACCAGCTGAGACCTCCCTGCTAAGAAAGAGTGGAACCAGTTTAGAGCTGTCCTGTGAATATCCAACAGGTCATGTAAACACTTTATTAACACCTCATGGTCAACTGTTTCAAAGGCTGCTAAAAGATCTAATAAGATCAGCAGGGCACAATTTCTCCTGTCAGTCTCCAGGTGAGTATCATCGTCCAAGGCCACAAGCACAATCTCGGTGCTGTATCCAGGATGAAAGCCAGACTGACAAGGGTCCAGGAAGCCAGTGGCATCCAGATGCACCTGAAGCTGTCAGGCAACTACTCGTTCAATGACCTTTCCTGAAAAGGGGAAGTTGGAGACACGGCAATAACTGGATGAACAATCGGTGTCAAGTGATAGTTTCTTGAGCAGAGGTCAGACAATTGTAGACTTCAGAATTTTTGGCATCCTGCTCTTCCAAAGGGAAGTACGGGCAACCCTTGCCAGCATTGACTCCAGTCTCTCCTGGCTGACGTTTTTACAAGCCAAGATGGGCACAGGTCTAGTTTACAAGTCATTGTCCTAGCTCCCCCCTTCCCCTTCCTCCTGCCCCAAGCATATCCCCTGCATCAGTGGGTAGTAACAATTTAAAATGACCCATACAAATAAGTCAAGACTGGGCTTCCTCAACCCCAAAGTCTGACACTGCAGCAAAGATGGAGGTCCTCAAACCATACTGGATATGGGCAAATATATCTGTGAAGTAGGTGACAAGCTCAACACAGTGGGCTGAATGTAACTCAGTTTCCAGGTGAAGATAGGCTGAATTAATCAAGATATTTACAACCCAGAACAGTTCTGCCATGTGACATGTTGCAGATGCAATATCAGTGGAGCAGAAAAGGACCTTCACACAATCTGTCAACTTCATCACAGGTCAAAAGTTCCTGTGCTTTAACCACATGCCCTCCCATTTAAGCTGGCTTTGGGGTATCTGTGTCACTACAGTGGTGGGAGCAGACGCCTGGGCGTCATTGTGTCTATGGGCAATGTCAACATGCTTTTCCAGAGATCAACCAGGCCATCAACAAAGTAGGTATCAAGGTCAGTGGAAATATGTCCAGAGAGTTCTGGATGCCTGCTGACTCCACAAATGTCCAGGGGTGGACCAGGCTAGCAAGTCCACCATCTAACAGGATGTAGGACAGAGATTTTCATTTCTAGGAGGCAATGGTCCAGCCATGACAGAAAAGTTCTTGCCCAGACCCAGCAGAACTTTGGATCGAGATAAGTGTAAAATATTAGGTCCAGCATGTGAAGCAGCTGCCATCAGAGTGCTCATGTTTGTTGTGCATTTCCTTGCAGGCCGGAGGATATGTGCTGGCGAGACTCTTGCTAAAATGGAGCTCTTCCTCTTCTTCACGAGCCTCCTGCAGAGGTTCACATTCCAGCCTGCCCTGGGCCTTTCCACCTCTGACTTGGACCTCACCCCTGCAGCCGGACTTAGAAGAGCGCCAATGCCCCATGAGATCTGTGCAGTGCCACGGGCCTAAGACTCAAGGCTTTCCTCCATGTCTTAAATGTGCCTGTCTTCAGGCCTCCCCATATATCTTTGCTGGTTTAATGGATGCACTTTATCTGTACGTATGTTCAGCCCTCTATGCAACTGCCTGGTGCAGTGAGTTTCACAGGCCTTTGTATATGGTTTAACCAATGCTTTGTTACATTCCTTTCCTGACTCCTCAGTCTGCAGCTTCCATGGTGGCACAAGTTCCTCATGGGAGTACTTCCTTGGGAGCTCCAGCTCTGCAAATTTTGGAGTACCTCCTGAATCCATATCAGGCATAGCTTCTAGCAAGGACATATGCCTGGACTTTGAGACCCAGCCCTTTGACTTCCCTGCTTATAAATGTTCCCTCAGATGGCTACTCTCTGGCTTAGCTTTTGGAGAGAAACACTGTCTCTTTGAAGGGACAGAGTGTGCCCAACATCATGATCAGCAAAGCTGACATCTCTTCTTAAACAAATTACCCAACCTTTATTAGTCAATCTTTATTAATAAGCCTCACTATGATGTAATCTTTTTATGTAATCTTTTTTATGGTATATCTAGCTTTTGCAAACTATATCTAACCGAATACTTAAGGCAACTTGCAGATGCTGGGAGGGGTGTGGTATGTGTGTGTTAAGAGATGCTTGCAGAGCACAGCGTGTGGGATTCCTGGAGGAGGATTCCTGGAATGCCTCCCTAACAACAGCAGGATAATGTCTCCCTGACAGTTGTAAGATAGCAAGAAGTTCAGAAAAAGGTCTCATTATAATGCTAAAAATCACACCCCTGGGCAGGGCAAAAGTTTGTTAATGAAACATATATGTATGTAAATGAAATACATGGCTAAAACATAGGTATAGAGACATGCTCAGTAGAGAACGTCTTATGTCAGTGGCTTGTAACCAATCACTGAGCGATACACTTGCAAACATATGTATAAAAGGTACCCAAAGGTAGAAACCGGTGGTGCTTGCTTTGCAAATGATTGCCAGGCACCCCTCTCTGCGCAGACTGAAAACAATAAAGATTAAGTTGGATCCTCCACCCATGTGTGTTCATTGGCAATAGCGCACCGGGCACGAACTCACACTGTCCCATAAGATAAATCCCCAGGCAGTCTCTGTCAGGAAAAAAAAACAAACAGTGCTGGCTGTTCTCTGTCTTTCTAACCTCTGCTTCATCCAGAGTTATAGGTGAAGTGGTTCACTATGTTGAAATTGTTCTCAGATTGTTTACAGGTAGCAGTTTGGATACAAAAGCTGCTGCCCTTTGAAACATTCCTCTTCTAAAAAGGCTCCAAATGCATGTGTGTCCATACCCTCAGAAACTTCCCATCCAGCCTTTCTCTCTCTCTACCCTGGCTCTGGGGCAAGGTAAAGACAGTCAAAAAGCCTGAGGCTGAATTGATCAGTCTTTGCAGGTTAGCTCAAACTGCACAGACTAAACTGAAACAGAAGTGAACAGACATTTACCTTTCATTCAGGAAAATGCAGTCACATGCCTGCAGTGGCTCAGGCCAGAAGCCAGGGAATGCTAGAGCATGGCTCTCTGGCTGTGTGTTCACTTCCTTTTCCTGCTGTCCTCAAGGTCTCTGGGATTTGCAGTCCAGAATCAAAACAGTAAGACTCTGCAGAGTTGCTCATCACATCCTCTTCCTGCTTCCAGGTGCCTCTCCAATTTGTAGGCCACAGGTACAGCCAGCAGTCAGTTTAAACAGGGGCAGGGGTGTTTAACCCCCCTCCCTGGTGCCGGACCCCAGCTGGGGTTTGCCTGGGGGAGAGCAGTCCTCCCCTTAAACTGGGCTGCATCCCCAGATGGGCTTGCCCCCCACATCCCCTTGTCAGCCATCCCTGACTGCTGCAACGCAAGCTCAAAATATACTATTTCCTTGTATGCACAAGGCAAAGAGAGAAGGCAAAGAAAGAAGCTAAGGCAGAGCAGGGATCATATTTTCAAAACTTGCTCATACCTTTTTTCATGGCTCCAGTTCTAGCACTACAGTCTTGGGAACTCCATATACAAAGGCTTTTGTAAAAGGATATGCATGTAGCATATTTTAATTAAAAGATTTACAGCTTCAGTAGTGAAAATCATCAGTACGAACCTAAAATTTGCACTTCTTGTTCCTTACCAACCTTTTCAAAACAATGTTCATTCATCTCTGATTTAAAGAAACAGCGTCTTTTTATCACATAAAATCTCAAAAATAGTGTATCTAGCACATTAATCAATATACCTCATCAGTACAAAGAATGTGATGTGTTTTAAAGTACTGCTCATAATGAATGGAGAAGGGGGGCTATATGGCAGCTATGTGTTCTTCTACAAGTGATACTGTGAAATTAAAATAGAAAGACAACCTCTGATATAACAAGACCTCTCAGTCTGCCTTGGATACATATGGACATGATGTCTGAGTGCTTCTCAGTTTTTTAAAAATGTTTTTACCTAGTAGTAATATAATTTTTACAGATGGGAAAATGAGGCAGAAAAACAAACTCGCCCAAATCACCCTAGTTATTTCAGTACCTAACTCATTGATTTTTGGCTGTTAAATTGAAATGGAATCCCAGGTGTGCACATGTACCAGAAACTTCAGGTTTATGGTTTCATGTGCATCATTCCCAAATGGCATAAGATTATTCCAGTGAACACTGAATCAGACTCTATACCCAGGACTCTTAAATTCTACTCCTATTTTATAGGGAAGCCCAACTTCTTACAATGCCACTGTTGTTTCAAATTCAATAAAAACCAATGGGAAAAGATCAGTCATTTGAATAACTGCCTGTTCATCTACACACCTTGGCAATTGTTCTTTCAAATGGATTTTCAGGAAGACAAAAGAAAAAAAATCATAACCTGTGCGCCTTAAGAAAAAAATGATTCCAACATATGGAAATATGGAAGCACTATTCTTTTCCTCTGTCTGTTAAATGTGAGAAGTATTACCCAGGTTTCAGGATTTAGGAGGGACCCAAGGAAAAAAGTGTGGTTTTTGGACTCCAAGGTAATGAAGAAAGCTCTTATGATCCACATAGATCTATAGAATCTAAAACCATAGCAAATTAGGTTTGGAAGGGACACCAGGAAATCATCTAGTCCTATCCCCTGCTCAAAACAGGACCCTCCCTAAATAGACCATCCTAGTCAGGGCTTTATCTAGCCAAGTCTTAAAAACCTTCAAGGATGGAGATTCCACCACCTGTCTAGGTAACCTGTTCCAGTGCTTTACTACTCTTTTGGTGAGAAAGTTTTTCCTAATATTTAACCCAAAATTCCCTTGCTGCAACTTGAGCCCATTGCTCCTTATTCTGTCATCAGCCACCACTGAGAACAGTCCAGCTCCATCCTCTTTAGAACCACTCTTCTGGTAGTTGAAGGCTGCTATTAAATTCCTGTTCAGTCTTTTCTTTTCCAAACTTAATAAGCCCAGTTCCCTCAGTCTCTCCTCAGAAATCATGTGCCCCAGGCCCTGAACTGTTGCATCCTCCACTGGACTGTCTCCAATGTGTCCACATACTTTCTGTAGTGTGGGACCCAAAACCAGACACAGTACTCCAGATGTGGCCTCACTAGCACTGAATAGAGGGGAAGAATCATGTCCCTTGATCCACTGGTAATATTTCTACAAATGGAGCCCAGTATGCTATCAGCCTTCTTTGCAACACAGCCACATTGTTGGCTCACATCTAGCTTACTGTCCACTGTAACCCCCAGGTCTTTTTCTGCAGAGCTGCTGCTTATCCAGTCACTCAGTGCCCAATACCAGTGCATGGGATTGTTTCATCCTAAGTGCAGGACATTACTCTAGTCCTTATTGAAACTCATGAGATTTCTTTTGGTCCAATCCTCCAATTTGTCTAGGTCTCTTTGAATCCTAGCCCATCCCTGCAGAGTATCTACTACTTCCCCAAGCTTGGTGTCATCAACAAATTTGCAGAGGGTGCAATACATCCCATCTTCCAGGTTTTTGATGAACACACTGAACAAACCAACCCCAAGACTGACCTCTGGGGCACTCCACTGGATACCCATTTCCAGCTATACATTGAGCTATTGATTACTATGCCCTGAGCCCCATGCTTTAATCCTAACATGTGTAAAGCTAACAACAGGAAATAGTGAGATTGTGTTTCTCTTTTACCTCATTATAGATCTGTTTCAAGCTTTAATGACTGAAAATATTTTTTGTGTTGTCAGAGATCTGCCCTGTGGGGTTGAGACATCATAACATTTTGGAGGATATCCTGTTTGTTTTCTTTCTAGTGAAGATGTGGTCAAGACACAGGGAGCTTAATACAAAAATATTAACACAGTAATGCAAAAAAAGTTTGTATTGGTCAGCTGAAATAAATTCATCTTTGCTACAGAGGAAAGAGACAATTGAAATTGCGGGGTTATCGCAGGACCCCTGGCATGGTTCCTGAAGACTGGAAGAAGGCCAATATGGTCCTCATTTTCAAAAGATGGAGGAGGGAGGACCCGAGCAACTATAGGTCCGTTAGTCTTCCTTCAGTCCCGGGGAAGCTCTCTGAGAAGATTATCCAGGAGCACATCTGTGAGGGACCAGCAGGGGG